GGTAACACACTCATCCCGGTGTCACTGTCATCCTAACATCATCTCTTGTGACTTCCGTATCCACTATAATTCTTGTACAGCGTTCCTCGTGATGTTCGTGCCACCACAGTACGGATGGAAGTTTCGGCCTTGCTGCGTCACAGATGTTAACAAATGTATCTGTTCGATCTTTATTAAAAAATTATATGAATAAACAACCATTAGCATTAATCGTAGGAAACAAAAAACACGCTGAATTTAGAATTCCGGCGCGTTATTGTGTTCTTGGATGAGTCAGGAATTCTTTAATGTTATTTATAGCTTACGAAAACTCACTTTTAAACAAATTTTTCTTTAGATTATATCTAATTACACATGTTTGGGTTCGTATATTCAACTTGATTACAAAGTTTATAATATATATTCCGCGTTCATTGCAGTTTCAATTTATCAATTTTAGCCAGAATATGAATATTATAAGAATCACGAAGAGAATCAAATAAAGAGTCGAGAAAATGAAAGAACAAAGTTTATTCGTTGGATGTTTCGATTTGAATGGTTACCAAATCAAGAATTCACACCTTGGTGGGAATCTTCCACAGAAAATCACGCAATCTTCACAGAATTGATATCGATTGTCTGTCCAGAATGCTGTCTTCCGTCAAATAAAATATATAAAGATTTATGGATTTGTCTAAATCACAATTGTAAATATTTTTGAAAGGTAATATTTCTTTTCCGCACATCCATATATAAATATAAATATCCTAATCAATCTAAATATATTTACAGTCCTTATCCGTAGATTTCATATGGGAAGATGCGCCAGAAAATTTAGATTACGTGAAATCGTTTTTAAGCCCAGGATTATTAGATACTAATCAAAGAATACAAATTCCTTTTTCAATATTACCTCCTCAACCACAAAGTGATTTAAATGGTCTCATTGATCAATCTTTCGACTCACAACACTGGAAAGGTTATCACTGTCTTCGTTGTGGACGTATTTCTTGTCGAAATAATTGGAAAGAATGGATCTGTGCAAATTGTGGGGTAAGTAAACATTTGATTCATCCTATCTTTAAATATCTTTTAACAGTATTATGTATGCATTGATTATGATTCATTATGGTTTAAAGATCATACATTTGGCATCACATAAAATACTGTTACCCCATTCTTTACGTGATCCTGATCTTCCATTACTTATTGGGCCGGCTGCGGACTATGATATATGTGTAAAGGATGGTAGTCAAATTACAGTATCTCGCAATGTAACCTCAGATGGTGCAATTATATGTCGTTACGATTTTCCTGAAGGAGGACATGTAATTCATAAGCTTGGAAACTTGTCTCTAAATGCATTGCCAAATAAATTGTTTAACGGTTTCCAAAATAAAAATATCCATTTTAAGAGGAACGTTGTAAAAAGTGCCAGAGGTAATTAGATGTACTATATTAACGTGTCAAGATATTCATACACAAAACGTAAATACAAAAATATTGTTTTTTAATATTAGTTGGGTCTGATCTACTTTCTCGCAATTTTACTATGAATATCGGAAAACATTATGAATTCTCGTTAAAGGTGGATACATTGCAATTTAATAAATGCCCGAAAGTTATATATGAGACTTTTCTATATCTTACTGAAATGTGTTCGCAACTTGATCCCGAGGCTCAATTTAATGAGATGTTGATGGTTATGGGTTATGCAAAATATGGGAGTCTACGAAAACTTTTAAATAACAAGTTTGCAAAATTAACTTGGAAAAAAAATCTTATATTTTATTTACTATTGCAAAAGGGCTTGCAAGTATTCATGAAAATGGGCTTATTGCATAAAGATTTTCATTCCGGTAATATAGTTAATAAAACTTTAACTGCATGTTATATTACTGATTTTGGATTATGCAAGCCAGTTACAGAAAATGATCCAGGAAAAATTTATGGCGTAATTAGATATTTAATGGAGGAGAATACACTAAAGCATCTGACATTTATTCTTTTGGTATGGTTATGTTAGAAGTTTTAACCAGTTATCCGCCATATTATAATATTGCACATAATGCAAATCTCGTAATGGACATTTGCAAAGGGCTTAGACCTGAAATTAAGTGTGAAACCCCTCAATTCCTTAGAGAAATAATGGAAAAATGCTGGGATTTTGAACCTCTCAATCGTCCATCTGCTATTGAATTAAAATATCAATTTGGTGAATATTATTTTAATAGATATAGTGATGGTGAAATAATAAAACAAGCCAGAGCAGCGTTTAAATTAAACAAGACTTTTATTCAATATGATCCAAATGAAATACATCCTGAGGCAATATATACGAGTAAATTTTTGTTTGTTCAGAAAATAAAAAATTTCGAATCAAATACACATGGTGAGTAATATTTTTAGCAACAATGAATGATCATTTTATATAAAATATTTTACGTTATTATTATTTAGACACAAAACAATGGGATTTTGCAGTTCCTGATGATACAAGTAAGTATTTATTATATTTCTTGTTAGATAATAATAATCATTTATGAATACATTTTCCAAATGAAATTAACAATCTTTAAATTTTGCATAGTCGAAGAAAATGAAATTCAGGAAAATTATAATTATTTTTAGTATTCGTTTCAATACTTTTCGTAAGTAATTTAAATTATTATTTCTTAAATTTTATTATAGATTATAAGAATTTTTTACTTTATCCCTTAAACTGTAAGCATTTCCGGGCAAATTTGCCCGCAATTTTTTCTATAAATATATAATATATGAAAGTTTATGGATATTTATACTTGCGCTGAGAAATTTTTGTTGAACATTATTTATATATAATTCTGTTTTAAAATTTTGAATTATTGTATAAAAGTTTATTAAAAAATAGGCTTTTTAGGCTTAAATTTTATATAAGTACTGATTTTAGAAAAATTTATTAAAATAATTTTAATTATTATCCAAAAAAATCGACCGGAGCTACAAAGTATCTCAATAGAAAATATAGATCTGAGATTTGAATAATTAAGAAGTCGACTGGTATAAATCGCTTGTGGATGTGTTTGATAATAAAGAGGAGTTGTAATAGTTGTTGTAGTCGTTGTATTGATTGATTCTTGATTTGCTGAAAATTCTTCAGCTTTTTTAATTTGAATTACAATTTCTGAATTTTTGTTTTCTTCAAAAAAGGGTCTATGTGTAACTCGAGCATCCCAACACCTCATAATTGTTCTCGTAATTAATTGTGGAGTATGAAATGGAATTTTTGGACGTAATCCATTGCATATTTTAATAGCTAAATCTTTATCATGTGGTATATCAGGATATGGAGGAAAGCCCGTAACTATTTCATAAGCAATAATTGCAATAATTCCAAATGAATATACATCAGCAGCTTTTGTATATTCTTCACCATCACTTAATACCTCTGGAGCAATATATGGTAATACACCAAATATATTCTTTTTTTCGGGACTATTTGGATTTACACCTATTAATTTACTTAATTCAAAATCTGAAATCACTAAATTATTTGACATTGTAAAGTCGGATGATAAAATATTTCCTGGATGGAAGTCTTGGTGAACTATATGTAATTTATGAATTTCCTTCAACCTGTAAGATAATATACATAGATTAAGTAATTTTCGTACCCAATTAATATTATTAAAATTAATTTTTAAATATTCTCGCAGATTTCCATCTTTGGCATATTGTAAAACCATCATATATTTGGATCTTGTGTAATTCCATAAAATCTAATAAAATCCCTTTTCGTTATTAAGTGAATTTTCATCTAAAAATATAGACATTTTTAATTTATAGTTAAAACATTATGTAATAATTTGTAAATTAAATTTAAATATTAATTAAAATAATACCTCATTTAAGACATCGTTTAAATTCACAAAATTATCAAACTTTTTTAATACCACTTCTACGTCTCCTTCTGCTCTTTCCCATTGTTGATTTCTAATATCCCGATTCAAAATATATCCATCAACCCACTTAGCATAATGTATTGTTCCAAATCCACCTCTACCTATTTGTTTAACATCCTTAAATCTATCATAAGGTATCCACTCTATTACTCCCCTATGACTATTAGCATTTAATTGAGAATCTTGAATGAATTTATCTACTTTGCCATTTCCACTTGTCCAATTATTAAAATCATTTTGGAAATGTTTCGAGTTGCATGGTTTGCAATTATATCCATTACATTTTTGATTGCATTTTGGGCATATATACATTTCTTTTTGTTTGCTTGTGGTATGAAAGGTAGAAATTTATTATTATTTTTTTTTGAAAAAAAAAGAAACTCAAATTACATTTAAAATTGCAAGTTGTTTTTAGTATGCAATATTAATGACAATTTATTATTTTATAATATTTTTATCTCATTACGTATATACAATCCTAGAATTGATACAATTATTCGGACTTCGGTAAAAATATTTATGTATTTAAATTAGTGCATATTTCACATTGTGTAAACTCGTGATAGGAAAATATGTATCACTATTACATTCAGGTCAAAAATAGAAATGACTCAATCCCCAAATCCAAAGATGATGAATTGCGTACAGACACTCAACAAACATCTGGACCAAGATTATAAGATATACGATTAAGAAACTCAAATTGTTCGGTTTTCAATGGTAAAATTTCACCCTTTACACTTTTAATTTGTCATGTGATTTATTATTTATAGGATATAATTTCTCTATTTCAGCAACATTTATTATTGTTCGTGGACTATATTACTGAAAAATTATTACTGAAAAAAAAGGTGAAAAATTGTACCACTTTATCTAAATAAAGTGATATCGAGTATTTTATTTAATAAATGAAAAAATATTTCGCGTTACGTGGATTAAAAAATGATTTAAATATGATCGATTCATCGACAATTTGATCTTCACGTTTACCAAATTTTACATATAAATATCCCGTGACCGATAAATAAAAGTATCAAAAAAATAACCGTACACAATATTAACTGAGTTCCCTTCTCATTATTTTGAACCAACCCTCTTCTGTTGATACTTTTCATTCTCTCCTTGTAATTCTGTATTCTTGTGTTTGAGTTTTTGTAATTCTGACTGATTTTTTGTATTCTTTCCTTTTAATTCTACATTTAGCGTTTGAATTGCCGTAATTCCTGTTGATCCTTTGCATTTTGGCGTTTATATTGTAATTCCTGTTTCATTTCAATTACTTAGGTATATTCAATTGATTAAAAATTAGTTATCTTGGTATTGAATCAACATAATTTATGAATCAAAATGGTTATTTAATACTAACTCTATTGATTCTTTCGCGACATTTTGAAGATCTCGCGTAATTTTCTCAATATCTGGACGTTGATCCGGGTCGTGATTTAACAATCTATTGAAATAAGTAATTGAGATAAATAATTTATAATATATTAATTAATTATTTTTGCGATATACATTTTAAATTAAAAACAAACCTTGATAGATCTTAACATAATTTTACGGTGTTACTTCGATTGGATTTTCTCGATTTCCTTGAATAATATTGAATAATATAAGAAATTAAATCCAATTTTCAATTCATTTTGTAATCTAGATTCGTATGATTCGTATGAATTTCCACTTGAGATTCCCCACAGTAAAATTTCAACACTATATATGTAGATGCTTTAGTTTTGCTAAATTTTCCCTAAGTATAGGATCAGAGTATTTCCCAAAGAATTAAATAAATCGAAAGAAGATTCAATAATAACAAGTTGGGATATACCAAAATTACTGATCTCAATAATATTATTATGGACAAGAATATTCTTCGAATTCTATAAAATATAATTATATTAGAATTAAAAAATAATTTTTCATAAAAAAATTAAATTTAACAATTACCATATCTCCATGAATTAAAATGTTCAATTGCTTTAACAATTTGTTGAGCAAATGTTAACTTGTTGCCATTCAAGTTTTTTAAAATTTGATTCCAAATAATTACGTAATGTTTCACCATTTGAATATTTCTATTCAAATCTGTATCAAAATATAATTTTCGTTAAAATAATATTTATTAATTAAATTTAATCTCATTTAATTTTTACCTCTTTGTGAATTCCATAGAACTCCATGATATTTTCATGTGTGATTGATAATTGAATGATTTTAAGCTGAAAATGCAATAAATATAAAATGTTCAATTTATAATAAATTTTATAAATGTCGAGTTTTATAGTACAGTACATTAATTGGAACAGTATTTACCTCATTAACAAATAATTCCAACGAGCGATTTTAATGTCGCTTTTATTTTACCATTCATTGGTGTAGCATTGTGAATGCTTTCACCAATTTCTTCAAGATTTTCAAAAACATTATATCCCTATTTTTTTAAGTTCAGTATTAAGCCATTCTTGATCGAAAAGAGTTGATGATTCTCCAGGGTTTCCTAGAACCAATAGAACATTTTTTAATTAAATCATATTTCTATAGGGTTAATAAATAATCCATACATATTAAATAACAATAAATAATTTGTTAGAAAAATCAATAATATCAAAGAAATACCTGTGATTTTTAAATTTGCTTGGTTAATTGAAGTTCCGAAAGAAATTTGATTATTTGATTCAATTGACGTCATTGACGTAGAATCTCTACTGTAAGATTCCAATGATTTGAACTTATTTAATTGATTTTCGTTAGAATTATAATATATGTTTTCGGATTGAATATTTCAAGAGAAAGAATCACAAATATCTTCGATAGTTCATCTTTGATTTGGATCGTCGTCTTTCCATGCATTCGATATAATCCACTGATGTTCCATTAATGGGTGCTTCTCTTTCACCAGAATAATCAATTAGATATTCCTAAACTTGGTAAATGGAGGGTCTTCCACTTTGATAGCTCCCAAAAAAGAACCCCAAACTATAAACTTATACATTATCGAATTTCGTAAATATCCAGGATCTACATATTCCTCCCTTTAAAGGAATTAGAATTGGTATCTAATGGTTTAGACAAACCTAAATATGCAATTAATAATTTGGATGCTATTAAAAAAAAATTTATATGAAATTATATAAATTATAAACTTACAAAATCATCTTATATAATTCTTACTAAATCTCGATGAACAATGTTCCTTATGTATATAACATAAACCATTTGTTATATCTTGAGCCATATTAATTTAATTTTCCAATCGAGATCTTTGAAGTTATTTCGTAAGTTCGTTCTTAAATCATCACCTTTGGCGACTAGATAGCATTTCTCTGGTAAATAGTATTATTATCAGTTATTATATATTTTAATGTTTTTGTTTAATTGAAAATAACATTTAAATAATAATTTATTTTTACCTATACTGACTCCATGATATTTAATAATTTTTTTGTGGTAATTAACTGCTTTAATATTTTGTAAATAATAGTTTAAAAAGCAATTGTAATTAATTTCGTCTCAAAAATATTCTTAATTATTGTAAACAAAATATTTATTTACCTCATTCATGAATACTTTATAAATTATCACTAATTTTCATCAAACAAGCATATTAATGATTGACTGCATCAACTCCTCCCCTCAATTGGTTTGATATTTTCAAATGTATTTAATCAAGTTTTTGAATCTTTTGATCTTCTGCAATTCGAGTCAAAACTCTTTTGTTATTCGACTTTTTCACACAAAGAGAGATTTACTCCGACCTAAATACATTATCTAATATAGAAATTGAAACGTTACTTCAAATCCTAAAGAAGAAATTACATAAAATTAGCATTCTTTTCTTTTATATTTCAATACCTGACGCAAGCAAGCAGAAGCTACACGAATAATTATTCTTGTGTCCTTCGAAATACCCCTTGAAATTTTAAGAAGCAAAATTTTGATGAGAATATTGTGGAATTTATGTAATGTTGCTACTAATTGGAGTAAAATACCTGAGAATGAAAGCTCATCGTGGACACAATAGACTCAGTCTGTTCTAACGTATTTCTCGGTTTCTTTTTATCACCGTGATTATTTGCTCTGGAGTTAAAGGTGAATAGGATACATATCCAGTAAATCGAAAGCTCACCGTAGTCACAGTCTTAATGATAGTGAACATTCTTTAAGGTTTCACAACTACTTATTTTTTTAAAAAAAAATTCAGACATCGTAGTATTTGTACTTTGTGATCCAATGTAAGTATTATTATTATTTGTTTATATATTTCTATATAATTTAATAATTTAATAATTTAGCCCGAAAAATATAAAAATAGGAAAGTTTCAAAATGAAAAAAAAACCGGTTCCATCTCTTGAAAAGGTGAACCATTACTTGATCAACGAAAAATGTTATTGGAAGGAATTGGTCATATCCTTAAACGACAAATCTTGTCATCTTATACTAATATTGGTAAGATAATCTATTATTTAAAAGAGTGTCCTTATTCTAGACCTTTTTTTTTAAAAAATATGTTTAATGTGATCTTTTATCAATAGTTATTTTTTATTATGTATTAAAATATATTGAATAACATCTACATTCGTGACTAATCCAAAAATACATGATGAAATTTTCCTATTTTTCTATAAGATTCAATGATCTATGCTTCTTTATTACCCTCTCTTCACTTTGTGAAATTTATACTGGCTTCTGTGCTTTCTCCTCTAATCATTGTATATAATGATTATTGGTTCCTATAGCTTAAATGGTAATTGTTTCTCCTCGTCTCGTGTACATCCCATAAAGTACCATTTTTCCGCATCCGTTACAATTCCCCATACAATCATCATCTATTTCGTTTGCTTTTCGTTTATGAATGCTAAAAATGATTCTATTTGTATGGTAGCTTGTGCAAAATCCTTTATGAGGTTATCTCTTCTAAACACAACCAAATCAACGATCCCATTAGTTGAATGACATTCTATTGCATAATCGAAGTTTCCTCGTCCATTATGATCCATGACAAGTTTTTCACTATTTTGAAATTATTGTAGAAAGATACCTCATTGACCAGGTAACAGAAAGAATATATAAATTTCATCGTCTCCTCCATAACCATGTTAACGGGGTAATTTTTCGACGAAGTTTCAACTCAGCAATTAGGTGGTTAATAACAGTCTGAAACTTTCACTTCTCAGGTCTACATATTCGCATGAAAAAATGTGATATGGATTCAGATCCTCACTGAGTTCATAGGGTTGCCATACATTGGAAATGTCCACGTACTGAATGGTTTCGATGGAGTCTCGATCAATACTGTGAACTTAAGATTATTTTTTTTGATAATAATAGTGGCTGCAACATTGCTCGAAATGAGATATCATCTCTAGGTGAATATCTATTATCATCATTCATGAAGTTGAATATCGCAAACGATGGTCAAGAGTTGCGCGCTCAATATTAACTACCCACTTTGAATGCCTTCTGTTTTGGGCTAACAACGTCGAAGTCTACAATGCAAGGATTTGGTTAACAAAGTATTCATAACTATAAAATTTTTGTTGACGACCATCAGGAAAGAATACGCACCATAGACCCACTGACTTGTTAAGCAATGCCCACAATGCGGCAAATTTATCAAGCAACTCCTTCTCACGGCTTGAAGTGGCAGTTGACACGGGTAGTTCGACTATGACATGAATATATTCCTCTGCAGAGGTAGTTGAAAGTATTTTAAATCTTCCTGGTTACAAGAAGTTCAATTTTATCTTGGTCTATAAGTTCAGCCAGCTGACCGTCAAAAATTTCACTTTGAACTTGTCTGCATCAACGCTAGTGATATTGATAGGCTTATTTTGCCTTGAAAGCATCCTTGAGATGTCCAATAAGTTTGTTTTTATCAATATCGATAATATCGATAGGGAAAGCATTCGCGGAAGTATGATAAAACATTTATTTATTAGATCTTGATCGAACATAAAAGACCCGTGACGATCAGTAAAAAATAAATCATATGTGGTTACACAATCAAATGTTCATAAAACCACGTTTTTCGTGTGTCCATAATAAAAAGAACCTTAGGAGGAATAACCATTCTTAGTCAGTGAATTCTGTTATAGGGATATGCACAAAAATATATAGGCACATACATGTACGTGCGAAGATGTGAAAAGGTGGGTAATTCAAAATGACTAAGTTCGAATTCAATGGAGAAGCAAACAGATAGCCCGAACTAAAAGCACTTTCACACACTTTCACTAATTTTTTTTACAAAACATTAAAGAAATATCTAATGATAAGGAAGTCCCGAAGCATAATCCATGTCATGATTGTGGAAAAGAATTTTATCATTCCCCTTCAAGCATTTAGTGTGCACACATAATTCACCAAACGTATGTACCTCGAAAAACATATTATTCAGGGAACAATAAATATCCTTCATGTCTAATCTACTCCGCAAGTTATCGAGACTATTATTAGAGATGAGTATGCACGCGTTTCCGGCGAGTACCATATGATAGCAAAGAATCGTTATGACAAACGTCACGATAATTGAGGGATTATGCGTTTGATCGAGGATAATTTTTTCGGCTGGGCAGGTTAAGCAAGTTAACATGGAGTAATAAGTCTTATAACAAGCGAAGATACATATTTTTAGTGATACTCCAAATGAAAAAAAAAAAGTACGATTAACTTGGTGCATGTTAATTTGACCCTATCAAGTATGATGAAAATTCAATTTTAATTCTTATGCTAAGATAAAAATAATTAAAATTTAAACATATTTTCATTCGTAAAAAACAGCCCCACAATTGTTACAATTTACCTAATATGTTTATTAATTTTATCACGCCTTATTAGATTTTGCTACATCGTTCGTCAAACGTCTCAACAAATTAGCTCCCAGCAATTGAACAGTCCACTAAAAAAGTTAAAAAAGAGTGATGAGAAGAAGGAATAAATATAGCGAAGGAAACTTATTGAGGAGTTATCTATTGAAACGTACACGATTCATATCTTGTAATAAGGCTGAAGAGCAGAATGAGTGTAAATCAAGTTGTGATTAAGCGTTACTACGATTTTTGTAAAGCGCTTGAGGATAGATATGATTATTACAAAAACGATTCAAAATGTGCAGAGTTAATAAATAAGTTAGCTCAGTTAGTGACAGAAATCTCTATTTGGATTGATCGTTAAACAACTATTTATCCAACAACCTATAAATTTAATTTTACATGGAACTAGAGATGGGTTAGCTCCACAAACATTTTGGAATACCTACCATGGAAACCTCACTACGAAAGAGAAAAGAGAGAGCTCAGAAGATTGACGATTTATTCAGTGAAATTGGGAGGGTAGGATCTAGCGGATTAAATCTTTCGTGGGATAATTGTGACACATTTTACGTGCAATTGACACGCATGTATTATACATCTTTGTATCGTTAAATTAATAAATGTTTATTTTATATTATTGCTTATTAAAACTAATAAATTTTGCTTGAATTTTTGCCTTATCCTGTATCTTTGTCATAAAAATTGAAATAATTTAAATTTTTAAAACATTTGAAGTAATACATAATCTGATCATGCGACATCCGATTGTCAAATCAGAATGATTAGATCATCGTGTAATTATTTGACGCGTCTCGTTCGAATTATTTTTAATTTTAATGAATATAACAGGCGAATTATTATTCTCGTGTCGCTATTCTAAGGAACATCTATTCAGTTAAGTCGTTTTTCGCATGGTTATAAATCAGGTATTGCTTTGATACAATTATTATGATTATGCCTTTCCCAATAACATATATACTGATTTCTATTTCTCCGCTGCTGCTTACTTATTAAGGATCATATTTCATGATTCATATTGGCCAAGTTTTAGTTCCAGCTTCTGTAAAAGAAATGATATTTTTCATTGATGAGATAGAAACTCTTTTAAGAATGCGAAATATTTTTCAAAAATCATTTGATGCATTAGTTTATCATCGAAAAAGGCAAAGTTCAAACGTGATATCTTTGGCACACCTAAGTTTAATCAGCTCGTGAGCAAGACACGCAACTACCTCAGAACTTGTCCATTTTGGTATGGACGGATTGATTTCAAAAACCTTTCTTCTGTATCTTGCCACCAATATTCTGATATAAAATCAATATCGGTAATGACGTGTCCTATCTCAATGAAATCTCATTAGGCTCTGCCGCAACTTAATCACATAAAGCTCTGACTAAAGGTAAGGCTTGATGATGTTCTTCTTGTTGTTCAACCTCATACTTTTATTATAAATCGATAAATTAATTAGTTTATTCTCAACGTTAAAAAATATTAAAAAAAAAAGTAGAGTATTAAAACGAAGGTGATTTGGTACCTCTTCAAAATTTTAATCTACATTATAACCAACAACTTATTATTTCACTATAAAAATAATTTATTAATATAGATAACTGGATCAATGAATAAATATAATATAATATTTTTCTCTAAATTTACCTGGGAATAATAAATATAATATAATATTTTTCTCTAAATTTACCTGGGAATAATTCATTACGTGTACGATCATCTTCAGTAGTACCTTGCTACCATCCATCATCAACTTTAATAACGTCTCTTCTTCTAATGTTAATTCATTACCTCCGAATAATTATTTAAAAAATTAAATAAATGTAGATTATATTAGAGTTAAATTAGAGTAGAGTGATTAAGGTAAACGGATCAGCAATTAATTTATTTCTTAGATTGAGTGAAATGACAGTAAAATTTTGATAAAATTTTTTAAAAATTATATAATAAATGTAAAATAACTTTTATTTAATATAATAATAAAAAAATAAAACAATTGTTTAAATAATAAAATAAATAGTACATAAAAATAAAAAAATATAAAAAATAAAATAATTCGAAAATAAAATTTAGTCATGAAACTGTGAGCCCGAATTTGAAGGGCCAGCAACCCCATATTCTTGATCAACTAAAGTTGAAATAAATAAAAAAATAAATAAATAAATTTACGAAATAAAGAATGGTATAAAATAAAATCATATGAATTACCTTGAGAATCATTTAAATTATCAACATCATTAAGCGATAGTTGCTCAAATTCTATAATTATGAAATACAACAATTAAATTAAATGAAGTTAAATAAATATTTAATCATATTAAAAAATTAAATAAAATATTACCATCAGGAATTTTGAAATCAAATTGTTTAGTTTCATATGCTAAATATAAAATGTACAAATTACATTAATATAAATTTACGAAATAAAGAATGGTATAAAATGAAATCATATGAATTACCTTGAGAATCATTTAAATTATCAACATCATTAAGCGATAGTTGCTCAAATTCTATAATTAT